ATGGATGGAGCATTTAAAATATTAGTATAATAAGCTTGACCTGGTTTGGATAATTTCAAGCAATGCAATACATGAAAAAAATAGTTTTCATTTGATCATTGTAAGAGTCATTTTCGTTCTTACCAGTAAATAAATGAACAAATATAATCCTATTCCTCTCAACATTTTAGTTACAACTCCTCTGTCATTTCAATAATTTTATGTCCAGTAATTTAGCTTTTGTTAGCAGACAAAGGATATTCAATATCATTAACAGGAATGTACTCATTGATTTAAGAAATGATCATTATATGCACCCTCAAGTACCACTTCCTTGATATATACAAGTTTTGGAATAAGTTTGCTCATCTTATATATTTGAAAGGTCTTGAGCTATTTATAATGATTATACTATTTCTTAACAAGTGGCACATATCTTATCCACTGTTCTGTGTTTTATAGAAAGATGATTAATTATTTCATATGTATCTTGTACATATGTGCATGTCATATTATCCCTAACAGAGTCCTAAAGCTATGCCACTTTTTTATTAGTGAAATTGATTAAGTATCACAATGAGCATGTTGGTATTAAATGTAAAGAGATTGCCCATAGATTGCTAAAATGATCACGTTATAGGTAAAGTATTCTACAACTGATTTCCGACTGTCTAAATAATCCATTTCTATTCTAATGGGAAAAAGATTATCCGCTCTGAAAATGGACCATGTGGAATAGCTTATGAGATTGGAAGCCAAACTTAGGCTTAGTATGCATGTACCTCTGACATTCCCTTGTGATATATGGATGTAGATGTTTGACGCTGCTGTATGGTTCAGGTATGAGCAGTGTGGTTGATGTTATGAACTCAATCACATGAATTACCATTCAGGCAGTAAAATTAAGTGCAACTGAGAAAAGTAAAAGTTTGACCATGTCTTTTAACTCTGTATAGTTATATGTATTAATGCCATGGTGTTTTCTGTTGATATCCTGTTACATTTTTCTGTTAAATTCGTTTACATTATAAATACTTAAGACATTTATATTCAGTTAATATTTGAGGACTAATACCATTAAATTTTTAGCTTGTTATGGTGGTTGATGCTCGGGATCCATTGTTTTACCGTTGTCCAGATCTTGAGGTATGCATTTCTTTCCATTTTTAGTTTATGATGTTTCTATTCTTTTCTTTGTTTTATTATTTGTGAGTAAAAAATTGTGCTTTTGTTTTGTCAAATTCTGCACTACAAGTGCAAGTTACTTTCTCAGTTGAATACCTTTTTATAAAATACCCTGGTCATTTACTGATTTTAATAACAAACTAATTGACACAATATAATAGTGTGACTTTAATATTTTATAATAGATTTCAAAACCAGATATATGGGGAATATTGATATTATTAGATAATGAGAGAACCTTGGCCTTTCGACCCAGATCCTACCTGCATAAAATCTGAGCACTTCATTCGAAATAGGAGGGGCTGCATTAGGATGAAACCACTCAGCTAGTGTTTTTCTTTTAATGAGTCAACAGAAACTTGAGTCCCAGTGGAACTCAAATTCTAAGGCATGCATCATGTGTGTGAAAAGCTAGTTCCCTTTATCATGGGCCTTACACAGTTTAATTTAAAATGTGCCCGTAGATCCTTTTCTGTGACTGGATATTGAGTTATACTGATTCAAAGATGCACTGGCTCAAGCTCCCATTTTATTTGTCAACTTGCATTGGCTCAAGATCCTTTCCTGTGACTGGATATTGAGTTATACTTTGCTGTTCATTAATTATAATATCTCTAGATTGTTTGCCATAATTCACTGGCAAGTGATTGCTTTTTTCTTTATGAGAACTGCTGCTGGCTGTTCACTCTGAAATGGTATATTGTGATATCTTAAAATGTTTGGTTGATCACCAGATACGCAAAAATTATTTGTCCGATCCCTAATGTTATCAAATTTAGTCATACTGCAGATTTTAAGTTCATATTAGATATTTATTTCTTGTTATTTACCAGGAATATGCACGGGAAATAGATGAACACAAGAAAACACTGCTGCTTGTCAATAAAGCAGATCTTTTACCAATTGCCATAAGGTCAGAGGTTGTCTGATTTTGTTATTGCACTGATGATCATCAAACCGAAGGGCTTCTTTTCTTATCTTTTTTCTTTTCAACTTGAATCCTGCAGACGTAAATGGGCAGAGTACTTCAATCATCATGGTATTCTCTTTGTGTTTTGGTCTGCTAAAGCTGCTACTGCTGCTTTGGAAGGCAAACAGTTGATCGGTCAATTTGAAGAAGAGAAAGTGTCAAAAGAGCTCAGCCAGTCAGACTTGGACACCAAGATATACAGCAGGGATGAGCTCTTGGCTCGTTTGCAGTCAGAAGCAGAGGCTATCGCAGCGTATGGGAGGTTCACAGACAAGGAAAGTCACAGTGGAAAATATTCAGAGACTAGTTCTATAAATCTAACAGCTAAGCAAGTTGTTGTGGGGTTCGTTGGTTATCCAAATGTTGGTAAAAGCTCTACAATAAATGCTTTGGTGGGACAAAAGCGGACTGGGGTTACATCAACCCCTGGTAAGACTAAGCATTTCCAAACACTGATTATCTCTGATGAGCTTGTACTTTGTGACTGCCCTGGTCTAGTGTTCCCTTCCTTTTCCAGCTCAAGATATGAAATGATCGCATCAGGAGTTCTGCCCATTGATCGGATGACCGAACACAGGGAAGCAGTGCAGGTTGTAGCTAACAGGGTTCCCAGAAACGTCCTTGAGAGTGTATACAACATCACCTTGCCAAAGCCAAAGGCCTATGAAGCACAATCTCGACCACCCTTGTCCTCGGAGTTGCTCAGGACGTATTGCTCATCTCGTGGTTATGTTAGCTCAAGTGGGCTGCCAGATGAGACTAGAGCTGCACGTCAGATCTTAAAAGACTATGTGGATGGGAAGCTTCCCCACTTTGAACTGCCACCTGGAGCAGAGACTGAAGATGTAGAAGTGAATGCAACAGATGACATGGTAGATCCAAATTTTCTGACAGATAATGAGCCAGATGCTTGCGATTCTGATGAAGCTACTATCTCCGATATCACTGGAGTTGATGCCCGAGAACATGCTCTAAGCAACGCTCTGAATGATCTAGAGTCATTTGATTTGGCCAGTGAACTCTCATCGAATAAAGCAGCTGCAGCAAAGAAGAAAAGCTCAGACTCCACACATAAGCATCATAAGAAGCCCCAGAGGAAGAAAGACCGCTCCTGGAGGGTAGAAAATGATGATGGTGATGGAATGCCCGTTGTAAGAGTGTTTCAAAAGCCTGCTGTTAATTTGGCTAACATAGGAGCCTCCAATAGATAGACTTTATGTTTCTTTACAATGTTTGGCAAAACATATCATAAAAATTGCTTGATAATGCCAATATATCTTGAGCACTTGTAAATTGTCATTAGCCGATGTTACTATTTTTGGATGTTGTAATGTGATTTTGATATTGGGATAAATCTCGCCCTGTAACTTTTTTACGTGGAGTTTTTTTTGGGCAAAAAGACTGGTTATGATCTTGATGTACTGTTCCTATAATTGTTGCATTATTGAGTGATTTCACTCCACAAGGTAAGAAATTGGTTTTATATGCTATGACCTTAACAATGCATGGTCCATCAGTGATTATTTGGGAAAAGAAATGATGTAGCTCAAGATACTTATTTTGAATTAAAGGTTCTTATAATCTAATGTAATCTTTTATTTTAGACGTCCTAAACAATTTCAAATCATAAATGTCCATAGAATACTCGATAGAGATTAAATATTTTTCTCCTTAATTTTTTTAGATAATTGAAAATAATAAATTATCATTTATCTTTGTTAGTTCGAGCACTCTTGAGGAATTGTTTACATGTTAGATAATTGGCTTGGTAAACTATTCGATTTAAATTTCTTCTTGTAAATATTGAGTCTCGTTAAACTATTCGATTTAAATTTCTTCTTGTCAATATTGAGTCTTGTCATTCAATTTTGAAACTAATCCATTTTATATTTTATATCGAGATTACACTTTGGTTAACTATTCGATTTAAATTTCTTCTTCTTATAAATGTTGAGTTTTGTCATTTAATTTCAAAACTAATCCCCTTTATATTTTACATGTCCTTTGAAACTTTTACGAGATTATACTTTGATTGGTTATTTACGAATGAGTATTACAAAAAGACCTTATGACTTAGGTCATTCCAACTAAATTTATGTCATTTGATATTAAAGCCTATAGACTTACGAGGGATCATTCATTTTGAATGAGCCTCACACCATTTAATCTTTTTCGGATGAACATTAAAAGGATATCTCCAAGAATAAATATAACTCTTAACTCTGGTAAGATTTTGATTCCCTACTCCCCAATCTACATAAGTATACTTATAAGTATACTCAAACATCTGTTTGAGAAAGACAACACAGAACATCTGTTTGAAAAGTAAAACAAGCTCAATAAAATAAAATACAGAAAGCTTAACATTAATTTGAATCCAAGCTATCAAACTCAGTTCAAATTGACTTAAAAATGTATCTTCTGCAAGGACACAACTTTCTAATCAGTCAGATTGGCTCTTGTAATTGATGGTCATAACATGATGCTAGTAAAGATATTATTATATCACTGAGGGATTCTATAATATAAGAAATTTTAGTATTTCTTGAAACTGGTCATTAAGATCTTGAGGTAGATATAAATATTTAAATATTAGTTTAAAAAAATCAATGTACTCATGATTAAGTTCAATGTAGCATATAAGTGAAAAATAATTTTGATTGTGTCACCAAAATTTTCATAAGGATCCAATATATATTAAAATCTAACATCTTCTCTCATGTGTAAGCTCAATCTGAAACTAAACATTGCACAATTGTCATATCATGATAAATATTTTTGGTTTGGTTAGCATGAATCCTGAAAGTCTAAGCTAGCAAAAAGAAAATTCAATCACTATTTAACTCTTAACATTAGGGGAACCAAATAAGAGAAATGCTACTAAAATGATAATTTCTCCTTCAAGCTGTTCTCAGTTGATATCTGAAAATATGCAGTGTTGAGCAAGTAATATAAGCAAGTATATCCAGCAGATGCAGATTACATAGCCATGATTAATAAACACAGTCCATTATCATGGTAAAAAGCTTTAGATTTCTTAAGCATCTAATGATTCTTGGAACTCATCACAACTTTGCTCCATGGGTAGATAGTGTCTCCTGAGCATGTTCTCCAGATCACTCAAAAGATGCAGAGCTTATAAGTAGTCAGTCCCCTGTTGTTGGAGAAGGAGACACTGGAGATGATCTACAACCTTGGCACAGGACGATTCCTTTCTGCCTCGGTCACGATGTGGCTGCGAGTGATTTCCTTGAGCGAGGTGCAGCCACTCAGTGCCATGGTGAGCTCGAACTCATCGCGAAGCATTTGCAGAACATTTCGGATTCCGGCTTCACCTGCAGCAGCCAAAGAAAACACCACCGGCCTTCCAATCTGCAATCATGGAGCAAAGAAGCAGATTAAGATCGATTCCTTATGATAAGATGCAAAGGAAAAGCAGTAGAATGATGCTGATGAAACAGAAGGGATCGAGGAGACTATGGATCTTGCAATCATGTCAACTACGTGATGTCTCTGGAAACATCTTCCGATGAAACCATGTTTACTTACAAAGATTCCGGAGGCTCCCAAAGCTAAGGCCTTGAAGACATCGGTGCCACGGCGAACGCCACCATCGAGGAAGACGGGAAGGCGGCCCTGCGCAGCTTTGACGACCTGGATTTGCCACCATTTCGGTATCAGTAAGCCAAATCTTACGCCCAAGAGTGCTTCTTTGCACACTCAGCTAAGTGAACATGAGAACAAATTGCTTGAGCCTCGAGCGATGGAAGCGGAATACCTCCTCCAAGGCAGTGATGGTGGCTGGAACGTAGTCCAGCTGACGAGCTCCATGGTTGGAGACGATAATACCAGCTGCACCAGATTGAATGGCCAGCCTTGCTGCATGTTCAAGTATGTGCAAGATAACTCAGAATGGATGCTGACATGCTCAGCACAGAGAAATACGAGTGCCACCAAGAAACGGAGTGCTTACTGTCCTCCGCAGTGAGGACTCCTTTCACTAGAATTGGCATAGTAGTGATCGTCTGCAACCACTTAACATCCTGCAGTAGGTCAGTTCACTGGAATTAGTAGCAGCAGAAAGGGAGATCTCTCTCTCACCCATTCTCTTATTATTATTTGGTGGAGTTCTGTTTACTCTGGAATAGGCTTCTTTCATCAGCATTCCTTGGAATGATCATGAGTTTACAAGCTACAAGTCTCAGAAATCTCATGTGAATCAAGCATCTGCAAGTAAACTAGCATACCTTCCAGCTCAGAGTTCGGTCGATTTGGCCAGCAACGTAAGAGGCCAGTCCAGAGTCATCAGCCTGCATCTCACCAAAGACATTTTGAGCAAGGAACATGGACATGAAATCACTCAGAGAACATGGGCATCTAAGACTCACCTTATCCATCTTCCCCAGGTCCAAGCCCTCGAAGTTCTTGAGCGTCAAAAATGGGGGCAAAGTGAATCTGTAGATGTATCACATTACAATTATCCTTCTTTGAAATCTCAATGTGAACTGTGAAGTAATGTTGTTTGATATCTATCTGCAATTAGCATCTGAGATTAATACTCATGTAGTGAATCTGTAGGTGTATCACATTAGAATTATCCTTCTTTGAGATCTCAATGTGAACTGTGAAGTAATGCTGTTTGATATCTATCTGCAATTAGCATCTGAGATTAATACTCATGTAGTGAATCTGTAGATGTATCAGATTAGAATTATCCTTCTTTGAAATCTCAATGTGAACTGTGAAGCAATGTTGTTTGATATCTATCTGCAATTAGCATCTAAGATTAATACTCATGCGATGATGAGAGTACTAGCCGACGACTACATGGAGAACACGCTATTGCTACCAGGTGGAAATGGCATTGACATTTACCTGTTCTTGATATCAGCTTCTCTCCGACCTAGTCTTGGAGTATCCACAGTGAGGGCTATTGCTTTGAATCCTGCTCTTTCTGCTCGTCTCACGAGCTGCGCAACCACATTCCGGTCTTTGTATACCTGACAAGGAAGAGGGGATGAGAAGAACCTATAGGAGATGAAGAATGGACACAAGCAACAGCACCAAAACAATGGAGTAGATCACTTGCGGGGAGAAGCATCAATAAATAATGGGGAGGATAACTTACATAAAGCTGGAAGAATCGAATTCCTGGTCCGGTTGAGGCCACCTCTTCCACACTGGAAGTAGCCCAGGATGACAGCGTCTGCAATGTACAAACATGAAGAATGGTTACCTTTGTAGGACATTGAACTTGGACAAGAAAGAAAGAAAGAAGCCATAGATCCGTGAAGGACACCTCCTCTGAGCATAAAAAAGATTAATAGAATCTGCTCAAACCATTTTAATTATGGAAGAAATATTGTTTGGGGAAGAAGCTAAATGTGTAAAATCAAAATTGTATCAAATGCAGCTTTTCATCAGAGAGACCTGTTTTTCTAATTATTATATTAGATCATGGACTAAAAATGCCATGAGAATGTCATTTACTAAATGCAAAAGCATGATATACAATCATGAAAGTTTTTATCGACTCAATTATTTTTGGTTCTGCATATAATTATCAATTGCTCAACCAAATGATGTCTTTTCCTTCTCTCTTTTACATCGATTTGTTGTCAACGTTACAGCTTGTTCTAGCAGGATTCTTTCAAGGAGAAAGCCTTTAAAAGGACAGAGTCATGTATCCAAGTTATTTATAGGTGTCTTGTGAGAGAGAAATATTGGGGGAAAAGAATGGTTTACATCAGCAAAACATAGAAAAAAAAAAATTCTGATGATTATTAATTTTTCTTGGCTGAAATATGATACCCTGATAAGTAATCAAATTAGTTGCGGCATAATAATTTGTTTCACAATCTGGCTCTGAAAAATTTAGCTTGACTAGCTCAAGAATAGGCCCAGAATCTAATCAAGAGTTTATACAAATACATAATTAGCCACTAAGTTCTGATAACTGAGAAGAAATTCTTTTTTTTTCTCATGTCAATGGCAATCTTCATGGACTGTTCTGTGATGTTCTTGGTTAAAAGTAAAACAGTAGCCAGCATATCATTGATTCCTTCTGATGAAAATATTATTATCAATCAGTATGCTCCATATCTTATATCATGATCACTGAAGCAGCACTGGTTTGCTGAGTATTGAAAGATTTATAGTGTTAACATTCTGTAAGATCATATTTCCTAAAATAAAGTTAATTCCAACTTGTAATGCATTATAGGAATATTAAGACAGCAAGAACAAACCATTATAGTGCCAGCGGCTGATGCTGCTCTTGCAGTAGCATATTCTCCTGGCACATAATAAAAACATGATACAACATAAGATGTTTTCATTCTTAGAAACAGCAATTCACAATAAGATAACTCATATAGTTGTCATAAGCCAAAAGCGAGAACTAATCAACCGAAAATAAAATTCACTTTCATTAAACATGGTGTAGATTTGCCTATGACTCACAAAAAATCAGTATGAGTTCTTAGAATTTAGTGCTTAGATAACATAAATATTTCATACCTTCAGGATGGGCCATCTTCTGCATGGCAGTGGGAGCAATCATGATTGGCATTGATATCTTGAAACCCAGCACAGTTGTGGTCATGTCAATCCTGGAGACATCAATGAGTATGCGTGGACGAAACCTGTTTTGTGATCAAAATCAGGTATTAAGCATCAGAATACTATGTTCATGAACACTGGGTGGAGTTTTGTATGATATTTAAGGATGCTGAAGAGTAGAACAGATGTAGAGACTGAAATCAGACATATAACTCATCCAGGTTAAGTTAACTTTTGCTTGTATAGCAAAAAGTAAGACAATATTAATCACATCCTCTTAAAAAGCTGAAAGAAAACTTCTCATAAAAAGACAGGGGAAGGGGAAAAAAAAGACAGGTTTAAGAAATGTTTTGATGTCAAAATATATAGGATATTAACATGAGTAACTGCTTCAATTTTTTAGAGATTTGTTTCAGATTAACTTCTGACACAGGTAATCTCAAGGGAGCTGAAGTGCAAAATGAACAGCAGAAAGGTAAATCTTCCTTAAAAGCAGCATCCTTTTACCCTTAAAGTAGAAAAAACATGAACTTGAGCCCTGTCCTACTTATCATCCAGAAAATACTAGAATATTATATTCAATGAAAGAAGATAATTAATGAATGAACAACATGGGTCAATCAAACTTTAAGCAATCAGATAATAATATGCAAGTACAGATGGTTTAGTTGATTCAGATACTACAAAAATCTAGCAATCAGAATACATAAAAGAGACTTTTAACTTTTCTCCTGAGAAATAAGAGAGGACACTATAGAACGCAAAAATCTAGCAAAAGAAAGGATGAACACATAAATATCATTAGGAATACAGTAAAACCATGAAAAGTTCTTACAGGATCCTTGAGAAGGCTTCCCTGTTCTCCTTCAAGGTCCACTGGTCCTCCGCACCAGAGGCGTAGTAATCGAACACCATCTTGGGCAACTTCTGCTTGGCGACGGCCTCGTACTCCATCACGTTGGTGATCTCCATGCTTATGGTAGCGTGTCACACCCCCACAACTTCAACCGATCTAGGAAGAGAAACCAAGTGAAACAGCATGTAATTGCTACAACATCAGAAAGAGAAGGCATGCATGGTTGATGGAACAACAAAGCAGTGAGCACAAGGTTAGCTGAAACGAAGAGGTCAGAATCCAAAGAGGAAGAGGAGAAGCCAACCTCGGTAGCTGAGAGCAGGGGAAGGAATGGAGGGTGGGGGATGGAGAAGAGTGATATATGGGTTGGGATGTGAGATGGTGATTCGCAAGGCGGGGTGGAGGGGAGGTGAGGGTCTACTTGAAGACAAAGAGCGGGCATGGGAAATACGTCAGCAGAGGAAAGGATGAGAAGGGCAATTGGGTTTTGGATCAGCTTTTCGAGGTGGGAATGAAGGACGGTATCTGCAACACTGCCTTCTCATCCACAAACGTCGACTCGGAGCTCTACATCCCAAAAAATTCCTCCATTTTTCTGCTGTTTATCCGAAGAAGCCAACCAAACGAAGTGAATCGAAGCCACAGAATTCCAGCAATCTTGCTCCATAATTTGCGACTCCTATCCGGTCTATTCCTACCGAATAGAGTTGTCGTGTTGGTTTCGATACTACTACATGTCTTATTAGTTTATATTATCTTGAGATCTTTGTGACCCCGTTGCAGGTTTTTTGATGTGGACAACGGAGTGTGCATGGAAATTAACCTCCTAAAATAGAACTAATGGATTGAGTTGGGGGGTCAAATTTCTGCAGAAAGAAGCACATGAGGTTCACAGGATGAGCTAGAAATGAGGACATTATCATGTTTGGATTTATCCTCGAATTGCAGATGAGACTGCTGTCGATGTTTCTGCTAAAAGATGAGTAGACTATGTTTTGGTTTCACCCACATCATGTTTTGGCTGCTTAGGAGTATAGAGTTTGGAGTGCCATCCACCACCTAACAAGTATGTCAAATCATGTAATGAAACATAAGAAGGAAGTATCAGAATTCGCTCTGATGCTTAGATTCTTCACCTGTATATGAATTGGAACAATTTTCTGCATAATTTTTGTTTCGAAAAATACATGAACGAGCAGCTAATCCATGAGCTCAATATAGTCTCTGTTTGTTTGAGCCTATCATGAGTCTTAATTGAGATGTTCTAAGGTAGAGCAGAATTGTCCCTCATGATAGGTTTCAAAGATACAAAGTTCTACCAAGAAAATAGTGCTTCTATCATCTTGTCAATAAACAAACACTATACACCTTATACTTCATTTCCAATCACAGCCAAACCAAAGTGTTAAAGAGACAAATTGAGACGAGTTGAAATGAAGCTATGTATCCTTTTACTGAGCCTGATGAACTATCAAGTCCTGCATATATTTTGGCTTTTCCCTGATGTATATCTCTTCTCCTTTTTCTTCTTAGGTCATCGAAAGGCTTGACGAGTGATAGGAGTATCTGCCACTGACTTCCATGTCTGACTAAACTGGCTCGCTTAAAATCATCTTCCCAGACACTCTCAAAAGACCAAGTAGGAACTTTTGGACCTCCATCGATGCCAAAGACTTCATCCGGTCCCAGTTGCTGTTTCTTTCGGGCATCACTCAGTGTACGAGTTCACCATACAACAGTCCAGAACAATCTAAGAGCTGCAATACGCATCGATATCATATGAAGTGAATAAACAATTCAGGAAGAGCATGAAAAAGGATCAGGAAAAATGATGATTGTGAGAACATCTCAAGTAGAGGCCTCATGAACTTGTGAAAGGCATGCATGTTCTGATCAACAAGGATTCATATTATGCAGCCAACATCAGGAAATATATGATGTCAAACCTGGCATAGAAAGGATAGCATGAAGCAACAAGTAGAGCTCTTGCAGAGATATGCACAACAGAATAGCACACGTAAACACGTAAACTAAAGTGATGTGGTGGAGAAAGACAAAAACGTTTTTAACCTTTGAAAGGTGTTAGTAAAATGACTAACAACTAGTGCATCATGGAAGAGGGGATGATCATCCGCATAAACCATGATAGAGGAGTGAAAAGAAGTAACACATCATACATTGTTAATAAAGCTGCAATAAGGGCAACCTCACATGATTAAAACAATAGTTTACACTGGGCTGCTTGATCTCGGTTTTAGACTCGCCAAACATATAAGGTAAGCAGCATAAGTCTATATTCTTGCCTAGGTGACTAATATTTGAAGCTAGGAATCCATAGAAACCCTTAGTTAATGCTATGCTATGCTCCTGCAAAATTCTAACCAAATACAAAAGGCAAAAAATAGCATTAGGTCTATGATGCCCATTAGGAGAACTACATGAGCAATTGAGCAATATAATTATAGTGAATCATCGACTGAGAGAGGGAGATGATCGTCTCAAGAAAGGTGAGCCTTAATCCTTTATCCTTTCTGGTTGATTTGGAAAGCCCGATACCTATGGCTTTCAAAGATTAAAAAAAGAGTTTTGCTGGATCAATTGTATGCAAGGTACTAGCTTTACTTAATGTCAACCACAGAATCTAAGGGGAGCCACTGGTGATATGTCAAATTCTGGTTAGATGGCATAAGCCAAACTAGCGTCGACTGAAATTAAATATCAATGTTCTTTTGAGCATAAATCTAGAGATCGGGGTGTAGGTTTTGTTAGTAGAACAAGTGATGGTACTTGTTTGCTTGCAGGATACAGATTCATTAAGGAGAGTGGATGCTGCTACAATGAGTTGATTGCGATCAAGGAATAAAGTAAAATTGATTGGTGAAGGAATTACCAAAATTGTGACTGAATCAGATGCAAAATTGATCATAAAAATATTGGAGAGAAAGACTGAGCCTTCTTGAAAACTTCTTAATGTCAATAGAGAAATTATGTACTTCAAAGGTTTTCTATGCATATTATTGTGCATGTTTACAGAGACGGAAATAGGCGTGCTAATTAGCTTGCCAGCCATGCTAGAAGTAATAGGTCTATTCATTTTTCAGCAAGAGCAGGGCCAGAAGACCTGTGCTCACTTTTGTTTTTTGTTCCGCAAGGTGTTGTTTGTAACATATATTTGCAGTAATATATCGATTTTTTGATTGAAAAATAATTAGAATGAATCAGTAAAGTGTGTTGTACTTACAAAATAAAGTATTCAGACTGAGGGGATTGGTCACTGAAGAATTCTGATCCAGTTGCATTTACATTTCATCATCAGCTTCACTGTTGTCTAGAGTCCAAGGTTCACCGTACCATAATGTACCGCTCGATACGGGTAGTACATATCGGTCCGACAGAGAACCGATAATGGCAGTATATCAGTATGCCTCTATTTATCATGTGTTGGTACGCTCAGTACAGCTCGGTACATATCATACCAATAACTAGTCGATATACCGGTACGGACCAGTAAGGCGAAAGCTTTGATAACCCACAACCCTATCATCGACTGCAGTAGATTACAAAGAATCTGTATCCTTAGAGCTAGAGCAATGGGGACTCAGAACCAGGAACATCGCCGGTGCCTTCTTCACCTATCTAGTTAAGTATCGACAACTTTGAAGATGTTGAGTGTACAGAACTCAACCAAGAAACTACTGAGACATCAATGTATTAATATGGAACATAACTAATATTTTCAATTAAATTTCATGAGTCACCCAACACAGCCGAAGAGGAAACAGGAGATCCTATGAACCTCAACGAGAAAAATGTAGTAAGAGAACAGCTAATAAAAAGGACAAAACTTTCCCTTCAATTAGCAACTGGTAGAGTCATGGACTCCAAATAGTTCTTCCTGTTCATATAATCTCGCAAAAGGGAAGGGGAAAATATCAACTCAACATCATCCAAAAGTGCCTTCAAGATTCAACAAATCCCTTATGAGCACATCTGAACCAACGCCAATAACGCCAATTTCCATCTTCAGTTGTGTTAATCAAATTCAAGAAGCTCCGATTTTACCAGTCTAGACCTCCCTAAACCATCAAGCCACCATCCCACGGTCCAAAACCTATACAGGCAACACCCGATTCTTGAATCCGCAAGGCCAAATGAGAGAGACGAGAAGTTGAACCGCGACGAATCAACCCACCCACCATATAAGCCCTAATCAACACTCCTATCATAAGCAACGAGAACGACGCAAAGAAGACGCGGTTGCTGAGTAGGTTTAATTTTTCGGATCAGAGGAGACCAGAAGCAAGATCGACTCGTGGAAGAAGGAGAGGCGGGGACTGATACGAACCTGCCAGTTACCCGGTTGTGTACCTGCCTAAGGCTGCTGACGGCGGTTGGTAGCCTACGCGGCGGTGCTGCTCCGCGAACAAGTTCAAAGCTTTTAATCTCCGAAAGCCGAAGCCAACTCCCGCAACACCACAAGATGGCACTCGAAACGCGCCAGCCAACGACTTTGTACACGACTTACGGTACGGGTGTAACCTTCCCGTGACGGCTGCTCCATGCCGTGTTGTCGGCGTATATGTCGTAGCTTAAGTGACCACTTGAAGAGGAGAGAACACGAGCAAAGACGAGGAGGAGGACGAACACAAAGGGGAGGAGGAGAGGGAGAAGGAGGGTGCTGATGACGATGAGACACAATGGCTGCATCAATGAGGCAACTGCAGAGGGTGGCAAACCGGATCGTCGGCGCAAGAAACATGTGTGCCTTGCCGCAGAAATCCCCTCTCTCCTCTTCCGAGGAGCTGATGAGGTTGGAACAGCAGTGTAGCGCTCACACGTAAGCCTGCCTTGAATTTTGTTCCCTCTATGTGATGCCCCCTGTTGTCATCATTTCTTGCTGCTCCATTTTAATGTTCTATTGCATGTGCATCAGGCGCCTAGGTTGCTTTATGCAGCAAATGTGAGGAACCCTCTGTTCGCCTCTGTTTGCAGCATTATATGTCCTTGATTAAGGAGTTCTTTAATTGGATTTGCCTCGCGCAAGATGAAAAAGCATCTGAGTTAGAAGCTAGATACGATTGTGCTGCATTACGTATGTGAGAGATTTGTTTGTGCATGTCCATGCGTGTCAATTATCATGATTGATACTTAAGACTAATCCAGGATTGGTTTATAAAGTACTTTGACACTTTCGATTCACCAAGAACCCGATTTTGTTTTGTTCCTCTTCGTTCTATCTGGTATTTGTTTCTGCAATTAGTCTTTGGGTGCCATCATCAGCTTCTACCATCTTTCAGCTTTTATCGTACTTATAATGCTCATGATGTTGATAAAGTTTACTTGTTGATTTGATAGTACCAAAATATTCTGTTAATTAACGTGGGTCTTCGATTTTTATGCAGTTACCATCCCATTCCTATGGTGTTTTCTGAAGCAAAAAGTACATTGATTTCTTATCTGCGTATTCTGCTGTTGATCAGGTCTGTGATGTTTTAAGAAAACTATTTCTTATCTGCTTGTTCTTCCTATTCACTGACCTCAAACACAAATTTTCTGATTAAACCGTTTCTTCCCTTTTTATTGATGATTAACAACCTAAAATTTGATCGAGACCATGGGAGTCTCAAAGGCATCAATTTTCTTCATCTGTGTTTCAGCCTAATATGTTCTGCTTGTATTTTGGATTCCTAACTTTTACTAATTTAATTTTCTTCTTTCGGGACATTGTCATCCAAAAATTATGAAAGCTTTAATTGATCAAGCAGAAAGGCTCACTCTTAGCTCTAGAGCCTTCCTTCTATAATGATAAATTTCCAACTTTTGCAGAGCATCTTACATAGATGTTTGGATATGAAATGATGTTACCAATGAATACTGGTGCAGAGGGTGTGGAAACAGCATTGAAGTTGGCACAAAAATGGAGCTATGAGAAGAAAAAGATCCCCAAGGATGAGGTGAGGCTTTAAAAACACTCAGCACTTTTTGTTCATTATATTGTTTGAGTTGTAATTTAATTTTCTTCATGCACAAACATTGACAGATGTTTTAGATTTATGAGCAGCATGAAACGTTTTTGCATTGATATTAAAACTCCTATTGTGAAAAACATTAGTATCTTCATCAAATTGTACCACACTTGATTTTGCTGTGGAAGGGATTTACTACATGTAAGCTCTATAGGTCCTAGATAGTTATTGTCATTGCTGTTTCTTTACATTCAGAAAAGTTTTCTGTATGACAAGTTGATGAATTAAAATCTGGACTTTCTGAAAGAATCACCATGCAACTCTAGGTTTTCTGGAGTATGCCAAAATTCAGAATTTTAGTGAGTGTTATTCATTTGTTGCTCTTGGTATAACTTGTTAAACTTTGTTGTTCTCCTTAGATCATTTAATGATATACTAACTGCTTAGTACATGCAATGATTCTTGCAACTACTTCAATATTTAAAATGGCTGAAACTACTTCATTATTTAAAATGGTACACGTTTTATGTGCCAATGAACTCAAGCTAGTAAGAATTGACAGTTGCCGATTCTCCATTGAGGTCATGTTGTTTTCTTATTGTTAATCCTATAGATCGACAATGTTTTTTGTAAGGTTTCATTCTTTGGATAGTATTTTTCCAGACATCCAAGTGAAAATATTAGTGACTGGATGATTTTTCCTGGATTCCAGAACAGCTATAAGTGATTTTACATAATATGACAATATAACTGGACTTCATTTTCCTGCAGGGCTACTATGTTGGGACAGGAGTTCAGGAATCAACTAATGAAGATTCATCTGCAGTTCCCACGAATAGTAAAATAGATTCTAGGAAGAGGATTGCTTAATGCAGTAGAATTGAACAACAAAGAACTATCTCTTGTTTCTTAATTCTCGCAAAGCCAACACATGATTCCATTAGTCAATTCGCTCCACCACCATCCATAAGGTAAACATTCAATTGTTGTTTTTTTTTTCTTTATAACCTTTGGAGTCTCGAAAATGTTTAAATACTATTTGATGGTTTTGCAGCAGATGGTATAGGGTGCCATACTACCATTTATCATTGTGGAAAAAGAAAACCCAAGATGCTTGGTTTACTAGGTGTATTTTCGTCATTAAATATTCATCTACACTGAATTGCTCCAATAGTTTTGAAGTGGATGCGTATGATTTAATTCTGAATTAAGTATCTGTAGTTATACTCATCACAGTAGAGCTGAACCTGCCAAATAAGTAGTTCATTAATAATATGTGCACTGTTACTACTCAGTTTAACTAGGTGTATTTTCAACATATGTTAGCTTTTATTTTTATTGTCAGTATTAGGCATATGAAGTTCTCAGTGGATTTCATATACATTTATGACCTCCGTTGATCTTGAAAAGTCACTTATCTCCTGTATCTTCACTAGTTTCGTAGAAGAGTTGCAAATTTTTAGTTTATGATAAATTCCTATTTATTTGCTGATAGTTATGCCAGTTTCATAGTTGTGGCACTATACAATGTAATGAACTGCTCATTGGGCAGGTTCAGTTGCTAATTTCTTTTACTAAAGGAGTGATTTTCCTGTAGGTTTTTGAATTATCGATAACTAGACTTTATTTCTGTGCGGCATGTTAATTCATTTTTAATAATAGGTTATTTGAATTCTAGTAAATCTTTTTTTTTTCTTTTTTAGTCATAATTATTGCTAGTGTTTTGTTGATATCTTATCTCATGTTGAAATTTGCTCCTCTTCTCGCACCCACTCCCTCTTCTTCATGCTGCCTTTAACAAACATTTTGTTGTCAGCTTGATAGGCATTTGTGATGATTTTTAAAGTTGTGAATGGCAGATTATGCCAAGCATTTGCATGCTCTTGCTGGTGGAGCAGATACCATGCAGTTTTGCAAGGCTCAGAATTAACATATTAGGTTCTTAAAATTGTGGTTTTATTTTTTGATAACTGATAGCTTCAATTATTTGCCTGTCCAGCTTAGAGGAGCTAAACATAGCATCAACGGCTTTCAGTGATGTTTTAGAGATAGATTTACCCAAGATGCAGAAGCAAAAGCCAAAGTCAGAGACTCAGACATCTAAGCAAGCATGTGATAGATGTGGGCGTCAACTGTATGATTCCACAGATATGAACAATTAGTTCTTACAGTCAGATCTATCCATCTTACTATGTAAGTTCTCATCCTATCATCATATTCTTCGCTAAGCTACATATACTTCTTAGTTGAGATAATTAAGTTTCTTCAGATCTATTAGGATTTTGTCCAATTTATGGTTAAGATATATCTCATCACAATTTGTTTGTGTTCTTTCTTTGCTCATTTATAGTAATACATTACTGCATTTAATTTTATGAGTTGCTCCTGCTATTGGATTGCCTAGAGGAAATTAAGTCCTCGTGCATCAACATTATGACGTATACCTAAGTGTTCATATCTGATTGCCAGAAATGAGTGTTACGTATATAACTCAGTGCTAGCTTTCATCATTGAATGAGGCTTATGCCCATAGTTCTCCTGCTTGCCTAGTGTTCAATCACATAGATTTACACAAGAACATTTGGTCTACAACCAGAGCTTTGAACCTTTGAGGGAACATGTGTGCCACATGCTCTTGATATCCTTGCAATCTCTAAACTTCCTAATCATTAAATTACCTTTTTTCTTTACAAGTTTTCAAGCATATTGTTTTTCTTTTACCATTTTGACTTAAATAGACTTGCAGTTTAGGGTTTCTTAAGGGTATGCCCAGTGGCCTAGCTTCAGGATTCAAAATCTAATTTTGTTTCTTGAAAGGGAAGGAAAACCCATCCCTGGCCAAATTCTTCCACTGATTACATTCTGAAGTGACATAATCAATGACTAATTGGCCTTTCTATATTCTGAATCATGCTGAAGGAAACAAGTAATCCAACATGGAGATCTGCATAATAAAAGCCTATAGTCAGCTCACACAGGCCAGCTTTGACATTAACATCACATCTTTAGTTGTCATTGGCAACAAGTTTAGCTAGAATTGTTACTTAGCTCAGGCCAAGAGAAGAAGTGTTTTCAATCCATCTGGTTTGCAAGGTTGATGTATTCAGAGTGAAGGATCATGAGACTCAAAATCCAAGTTTGGATATTGGAACTCTTTACCATCAAAAACCTATTTGCAATATGAGTTTAGATGAAAAGAAGGAAGGAATACATATGGAATTGGTATCTACAACTTTCAACAAAGCTTATTCTACCACTTTGTTGCTGGAATTTTATATTAATATCATCTTTGTTAGTAATTATTATCATTTTTCTTGTTGCTACAGCTATCAACGTCTCCACAGGCACCCTCAACTGTGGCCATGATGCCATTGAAATAACAAGGAATTTTATTTTGTAATCATGGGAGATTTTTTTTCCCTAACATAAATTAAATTACCATTGATAGCATGTTATTTTATTTGAATTATTAACTTTCTTGTTTGTGTAGTATATTTAAGAAAATCATTAAAATTGATTTTCTTATTAGTTGATTTTTAGAAAATAATTATTTTAAATTTTATTTTGTGTGTGAATTACAAGAAATAAATATTATCATTCTATTTTTGTATATAAAAATAAAAAATTAATTTAAAATAAAAATTATATTGTCACTTGCTTTGGAAGGACTCATCTTCTTATATATAAAGAGAATTTCTCTTCTCTTATTCGGTATCAAACTTGATAGTGGGAGGATTGAGGAGAGTAATCTCGAAAAAAGGATCCCTAATGACAGATAAGATCCTCTATTATATTCTTATCAATTTTTATTCATATTTTTAAAATTATGATATTAGAATTATTATAATTTGTATGATATATGATAATATTTTAATGTTTAAATTTTATGATTAATAAATAATGATAATTAAATTATGATGTTAGAATAATTAATTATATAATTATATAATTTTAATTTATTTAATTATGTATATTTGTTTTTCAATAAATTATGTGCGAATTTTTATGATTTAATTAGTTTTAATTTTAAAATCATGAATCTAAATTACTCAATTTATACAAAAGAATGGATTTGAGGTTAATTATTATTATTTAATATTTTAAAGTACTTTTGTAAATATTAAAATCTAATTTAATATGAGGGGTCAAATTGGAGTTTGACTTAAATTGTTTGACCCGATCAAAACATATAACCAAGCATAACTCAACCCATGTGGTTAAGTATGACATAGTATATGTGGCTAAGCATGACCCAACCCATGTGGTTAAATATGATCCAATCCATATGGTTAGATATAACCTAACCTATGTAACGAAACATAACTCAACCTATGTGGCTAAGCATGACCCAGCTTATATAACCAAGTATAACGCAACCCATGTGCTAATCACGACTCATGGTCAAACATGACCTAACTCATGTGGTGAGATATAGTCTCACTCATATGGCTATGATAACTCAATCAACGAGTCAAGCATGACCCAATTCAACGATAAAACTCAGCTCAACTTATAAATGAGGCTAAACCTAGCCTATGAAGCTAGGCCTACCCAGCTATGCGATTGGTGCTAGAGATCGTCGCCTCTCTATCTAGCCTATTATTCCTCAGCCTAACTTGCTACTTGAGATAGACATGTGCAGCACACATGACCCGTCCAAAGCTTAGATGAGTCGGTTGAATCTGAGCTAACATTATGTAACATAGTCTAATTTCCTTTTCCTTTATTGGTTTGAGCTCGTTAGCTAAGTAAACAAGATGAGTTTGATTGGTTCGAGCCAATTCAAGATAATTCCAAACCAATTTGATTGGTTCAAGCTAACTTGACCTAATTAAAATTAATCAAATCTAAATTAGATTAGTTTAGGATGATTCTAGATTAGTTCTATAAGGATTTGAGATTGGTTCCGTTAGTTTCTAATTGAATTGAGCTAGGTTGAAGTCAATTAAATTATTTCAATTAGAGTTCATTGACTGACTATTGAGAGATTGATCTTTATGATTTGGTGAACTTAAAAAATTTATTTGAATATATTATTTAGAAATAATTAATAATTTTTTTTCTTTTAGATTAAATTGATGATATTGATATATTTGTTACCATATAATATATACGATTACGTTAAGTTGTTCACGTAAGAAATACAATATGTGAAAGAAACTATTGGCCCATTGAACCACTAATGAATATAATTTAGCAAGTCATATCAAGTAAGCATAATTCTTGCAGTTCAATGGGTAGGCCTGCCTCTGGCAAGTACTGGACTTGTTGGCAATTGACTATGGTCAGAGTTGTCAGTGAAGAGAGTTCTTGAATCCTGGCAGGCAAAAGTTGGAGGTTGATGCAATCAGATATCCCAAGAAACTTAAGTGTGATAGGAAGTCCTTCCTCCGGAAAGTAATACAGGTCAGGGCATTCTTTGATCCTCAGATGTTGAAGATATGAGAGGTGCTTAAGCTCTTCAAGTAGCTTTTTAACCAGTTTGGAGCATGAACTTGTCCTAAGATCTTCAAGTGAGCTGGGAAGCAGGGCTCTATCATCTTCCCGAGTCCCAAGTTTGGGGCAGTCGTAAATGTGTAGGCTCTTTAGTGAAACAAGGCTTCGGAAAACCTTCTGTAGGGAGTTTGGCAAGCTCTTGGCAACCAGTGATTGTCAACTGCTCGAGAGCCCTCAGTTGCTGCTCAAGCAGTCCTTGCTGCAATGATGCCAGGTTCACACACTCATTAATATGGAGGGCTGAGAGTCTCGGCAAGTGCAATGAGTCTGAATTCTGCAATCCTGGAAGAAAATTAATCCCTATATCTGAAATCTTGAGTCTTGTTACTGTTCGAGGGAGACTAGGCAGCTCTCTTAGCTTTGGACAATCCACAATTTCAACTTCAGTAAGGCAAGGGAACAAACGAAACATAATCTGATCAAATCCATTCCACAAGATCAGGCATATCATCAAGTACTAGTTCAACCAATGATGGGAAACCTAATGAATGAATATAAATAAATAATTATGATTGACTATATATCAGTATCGATGGCAGATAGGGTGATTCTCTTTAAGGATTAGCGGGTTGTCAGCCATGACAGTTAAACGATTCTTTTATTTGTTGTTGGGAGGAATATATCCTCACTTGGGCGAATGAGATATACCATTCTATCTAGTGTTGGAAGTGTGATATAAGTTTTCTCTATCGTTATTAGAAGGAATCCATCAGTTTGTTACTCTATATGTTATTGAGAAAGTGTATCATTGAGTGTCATATAAGTCTTCGTCACTTGACTGTTATGTATATTATCGAAATATATTACATGTGACTAATGTATGATTTTATTTACTATATAAGAATTATCATTATTTTTATGATATATGAGTTTTATAGTGAATTGATATGTTATCATTTTATATTAAATTATAAATATTTATATATACTTTATGGGTATTTAAAATTATTTTATAATTTTTTCAAAAGTTCCTACCGACATGTGTTATTGGTATTTATCATATATTTAATTTCAGAGCAACTTATTACTTCTGAAATGGATCGGAGGTTTCGATAGAGAAGACTTTTTCGTCACATCTAAAAAATATGATCTTTTTTAGTTAAAAAAATTTAGTATTATAAAGATAAAATTTTTAATTCAAAGTAATTTTTTATAAATTATGAATAATGAAATGATGATTTATTTTTTTCATAAACATGGGAGGTGACATTAATATCATTGTTCTTAATCCATAGCTTGCACATGATTTGGTGAACTAACAAGCAAATAAACTTAAAAAGCATTGCTGCGAAGGACAAATTAGTAAATTCAAGCTCGCTGCTGTTTTTGAGCAAAACAAATTTGAAGGACAAATTAGTAAATTCAAATTCACTGCTGTGTTTGAGCAAAACAAATTTGAAGGACAAATTAGTAAATTCAAGCTTGCACGGAGCACAGATTTGAGCATCACACGTGGGTCCGGAACAACCATCAGCAGTTCGCACGTGTTCCGATTTCATTAAGATAAACACTTTAAATTAAGAAAAAACACGTAATAGAAAATAAATAGGGAAAAAAAACATGTGCCCTTTTCCTCTTCGCCCCTTAAAATTTACTCAATATTGTTATTATGGATTAAACATATTACATTAAACACTTATATTATCGAAATTTGGCTCGGAAAGAACGGCTTCCGGCTCGATTCCTCTTCTCCATTGCGCCTTAAAAATTCGTGCCGGCACCCCGTAGTTCCCCAGGATTAGGGTTGAGGAGGCTCCTCTCCCTCTCTCCTTTTTCGATGCCGATCCCGGTACAGGGTGCCTTTTTAGGTCTGTAGGTGGGGAATTGATCTCATTTACATCGATCGCTCTGCGGCAGATCTCTCGATCCGTCTCGATCGGAAAAGGTTCCGATCCGATGACGTCCCCCGGAAGGCCCGCGGCGGCCGTGGATCTGCGACAGTGGCGCGGGGATGCGCAGGAGGAGGAGGATGAGGAGGGGATCGACCACTTAGATCGGCTGCCGGACTCCGTGCTGCTCGTTGTCTTCAACCGGATCGGCGACGTCAAGGCCCTGGGACGGTGCTGCGTCGTCTGCCGCCGATTCCACGACCTCGTCCCTCTCGTCGATTCCGTCCTCGTCCGCGTCGATTGCGTCATCTCCGACGATCCTTCCCCCTCCCCCGCCGGGGGCGCCGGCGCGGACAGGTCCCGGGGGGTCTTCTCCCACCTTGCCCGCATCGTCATCGGCGGCATCGTCAAGCCCTTGCAGGCTCTCGGTCATATCCTCGCCCCCTCTGCCGCCGTCGCCTCCAACCGAAGGTCCTCGCCTTCGTCCCCTTCCTCCTCCCCCTCCTCCTCGAGGTCGTCGGAGATCTCCCACCACTCCCCGGCGGAGGTCTTGAAGAACTTTAAAGAGATCCGCCGGCTCAGGATCGAGCTCCCCGCCGGCGAGCTCGGCGTCGATGACGGCGTCCTCCTGAAGTGGAAGGCCGAGTTCGGATCAACCCTCGATAGCTGTGTCATCCTTGGCGCATCCTCTGTCCTCTCTTCGCCTTCCATCCTGGCCAAATCCTCGAGCCTCAACCCTAACCCTAGCTTCCAGGACACTTGTGGGGCTGATGACAGCGGGAGCATGCCGGATTCGTTTTACACCAGCGGAAACTTGAAGCTTAGGGTGTTCTGGACGATCAGCTCCTTGATTGCCGCTTCGGCACGGCATTACCTCCTCCAGCCAATCATAGCTGATCACGAGCCGCTGGAAAGGTTAGAGCTCACAGACGTCGACGGGCAGGGGGTACTGACGATGGACCGTTGGCAGCTGCAGGAGTTCAGGGCAAAGCCGTTGTCAGCATCAGGGAGCTCGCAGCGGACCCTGGTGCCAGCCCTCAGCATGTGGTTGTGGTACGCCCCCTACCTGGAACTTCCTGGTGGGATGGTGCTGAAGGGGGCGACACTGGTGGCTGTCCGGCCAAGCCAGGAGCAGGGAATGGAGGTTGCAAGTAGTGGAGAATTTGGTGGTGTCGTAGAATTCTCAGACAGGTGTTCGATTTCCAGTGCATTCGAAGAGCCATACAGGTCAGCAGCAGGGATGCTCATGAAGAGGAGAACGTACTGTCTTGAGATGAATTCATTCTGAGATTGGAATGATACCAAAGTCTTATCTTTGGAAGGTAAAATGCCAGATAATGGTAGTTGATTATACTTCTTTCAAAGATATTGAATTTTGAAGTAGAGTTTCCAGTATGTTGTGTCAATTGAGGTACAGAAATTTAGAATCAGAATATGTTATTACATATGTTAGGGTTATGAATGAGCAGCTGGAATGCTGGGTTACCAGAATTTTATATGGTTGTTTGTGCTGTAATTCAATATTTGACTGTATTGAAAGAAATGCATTCACTAAGAAATATCTGCGTAAAGCTAATGCTCTTTGTTTGAAGTTATTATTACATTAAGTAAAGTTCATATGAAGTTTACAACATTTTAATTGTACTTGTATCTTTTTTTCCACAGCATTTGCTTTTGTGCTTTTGATGATTGGTTTTGCTAGTTTACTCAAATCCCCATAGGTCAGAAGTTATGCAAAAGAATTTCCAAAACTTTCTCTTTTGTTGGTGTTTCGTTCTTGAATGGAATTTTTCTTTGAGTACTAGCTTTATAGTAGCCTGTAAGTCATTTGTTGTTTCCTCTCTTGAAGGTGTTCTAGCAGATTACTGAAAGGTATCATTATTTGACTAAGATCAATTCATGAATGCTATGAGATATGAAGGTTATCTATTTTTTCCTACATATTGCATTGCTAACATGCTCAGTTGGTCTTATATGGAATTATAATATTGAGGATGAACTAAGTCCATTTGCAAAAGCATTGTTCTTTAATGTTTTTGTGTTATTGATCATGAGATAATTAAAATAGACATTGATTGAACCAAGTCCATTTGCAAAAGCAGTGCTCTTTAATGTTTTTGTGTTATTGATCATGAGATAATTAAAATAGACATTGATTGTCTATATGAATGGTTTTGATTTCATGTATTTCTCTGCTGTGCATGTCGTCTTCAAGTCAATCATGCTGTTAAGTTGTATGAGGTATTATTTTATTAAATCTTTATTCTGAAATCTTTATCCTATATTATATATATACATTTTGAGCTGTGTATGTTATGTAATTGTTTGCCTTTATATGGTGTCACTTGATATTAAATGGTTGAGCTTATTCCACAATGATGATATTGATGATAAATGTGGTTGTGCACTTTGTATGGTAACTTGTTTCAGATATTGCTACATGACCAGTGAACCATATCATATATTTATTGACATTTCTTTGAGATAAGAGTAATGAATAGATACTCCATACCAAATTTCAATTTGCTCTCTGATATTCTGTAGTCAACCATCGGTGCTTGGCATAAGCGATTGACTCATGCTTGTTAAACTTGCAGATTTTTATGGAGTTTTGAAGTGGTAGGGAGTAAAAGCATGTCCGAAGTCAGATGAGACTTATTGGCTTCCTGGTAATAAATTTCCTCACTTTATTGGTGATTGGCAACCAATCTCCATCCAATGCAGTAATGATATACTGCTCATGGTGATCTTTGTGCTGCCGTCCGCGAGAACTGAAATATAACATGCTGTTGTTGTTGTCCTTCCCCCCGAGCAAATTTATCAAGAGTGAACAAAGCTGCCAAAGGCTGTCACTGTTGTTAACGTTGTTGTCTCCTACCTTGTTAATATTGCAGCCGTTAAATAGTAAACATGGTTATTTGATAGATATTAACTTGTAGTGCTCTTGTCATGATCTACTTTTAAGTTTTTCTGCTACTAAGCTTCTATGAAATTACACTTTTGAATCTGCCCCTGGTTGCACTTCATTTTTCTTTTTTCTGGTTACAATCTCCTAGGGCATAACATTGAACGCTTGTCGAGTTCTCTAATCCTTGTTTGTTTTAGATGTCCCTATGGCAAGCATTCAGGAATGAAACGCTGGTGATTTGGAATTCTTTCGATTCTATTGCATGACTTATCCATGTGCATACTTGTGAGTTGAAACAAAGTGTTCATGTAGTTTGATGATGGTGTGCAATGTTGTCCTCCTGATCTAAAGATCTATGTGAACACCCAATAAGCAGCTGATATAGAGAGAGAGATTGTGTCATTTCCCCTGGAGCAAGAATCATTCGAAGCTGCCCAAAAAGATTTGTTCACTGTTGCTAATTCTCCACTACTGTGTATCTGTGAATATGATTCTGTAGTTGATGTTAATGACTGTTGTAATGCTGATGCCAGTCACCATAATCAACAGAGAAAGCAATTTAATGTTTTTCATACCCCTGATGTGCTTGCATTCACCGGAATCTTACAATGCTGATGCTTATATATCAGACGGGAAAATTAATTATGCTGATGCACTGTGCAACTTGCTTTCTCATACTCAGTTAAGTCCATGTTTCTATTATGCATCACTTCAGCTTTGCAGTTTGATGAAGTTTAAACACAAAGAACCCGTTGAGTCTAACAGAGAGCTAAGTTGCACAAAGGTTTCTCATGCTCAACGAAGTCGATGCTTCGGTCGACAAAGCTAAGCCTTAGTTTAAACATGGCCCGTGATGCCTCCGAAGATTTTGGAGGCACACGTTTCCATCCCGTCCAATTGATGTGTCTCTCCAATGTTAATTACTTAATTACTGTAGTTAGCTGTTTCAATCTTTATACTTTAAAAAATTATACTGACATTTATAGTTGTTGTGAAAGTAAAATATTTATATCTATTTTAATTTAATGATATCAGTTTTATCGATAAAAATATAAAAATAAATATCAAAAAGATAATTTTAACATTCGGTGGCGGACGACGACGTCGACATAGTTGTCTGGCTACCTTCGATGATGATAAGGTCCGCTTTCGTTGTGACGCCATCCACTTTCCTGTGTCACTCTGTATCTACGTTGACACTAATACAATTGTCACTCGAAAATTATGTCAGTCTTGACATAGATGGTGGTGGCCGCTCTCCATCCCCCTGCTCCTTTGATATCCCATTCTCTTGGGAGCAACGCCCCGGAATCCCGAAATCCCTCTCCCATCTCATTGCAACTGAGGACGCCTCTGCCCACCCCCTCCTCCCCCTCCCTCCCCTGGGTCACTTCCACTTGAAACTCTCCACCACGCAGAAGAAGCACTCCGTCACCTCCCCTGACTTGTTTATGATCGCGCTTGCCTTTTTCTCTAATGGCCTCCTACGTAACGACGATGATTTGGATGAGCTCTCATTAGTGCCCGACGTTGTGCCACAAAGAGCGACGCCAATAAAGGGTCATCATAACTCCTGCCACTCCCCTTATTGTCACGTTAATTCTGGCACAACCTCTTGCCATGTTAGTTTTGACAAGGGGGGAGTGATAGGAGCTCCAGTGATCCTATGTGGATGTCGCGTCAGTTCCGGCACCATCTTTCACTGTGTTAGTTTCGATAGTAAGGGAAGTGACAAGAGCTCCGACGACCCTTTGTAGACGTTGCCTTTTGTCGCATGGGTCGAGTATTAACCAAAGCTCATCCACATCATCGTCGTCATGCAAGAAGCCATTGGAGCATAGTGCAAGCACAACCACAAATGGGTCAGGGGAGGTGATATATGTTGGGAAATCATGGGGGCGACATCACATGCGCAGCGGAAGAACAAGAAAACAAAATCTCCGATTCCCAAAAAGATGTTCGTCGTCGTGCGAAAATTGGTACGCAAAAATCCACGAAACATGAAACTGCGTATAGAGTAGATTATGTTACCTAGGGAGATCGTATATCTCTGTTTCCTTGCAGATCCTTAGGAGAGGGTGAAGGAGGTCAAGCGTCCTCCTCTCTAGCGGTGATCCACACAGTAGGGTTGTGACGACGCTCCTCAAAACTCCAGACCTGATCTGAGGTGGAGAGGAAGAGGAGAATAGGAAAGACAAGCAAAGACTCTAGCCTATGAGGCTCTGAATCCCTCCTATTTATAGAGGCCCCCTGTCAAACCCTAATGGGTTCTCCCCTAGTGGGTATTGGATCTGCATCCAATAAGACAAGGGCTCCTTCGGATATCTCATATCCGAACCTCTACTCATCGCAATGCCTACCATATGTGTGTGACCCTCTAGGCCCAATATCGAGCTGGCCGTGAGTCATACCTGTCAGAACTCCTTCTAACTCAGTGAATTATTATCTCTGTAATAATTCACTTGACTCATCGACTACGGAAGTACTAGGCCACTACGCCGTAGTCCCCAGACGATACAGGGGAATCCAATCCATTGGACCTGTCTGTCCTCAGTTACCGTGTACCTATAATCCCTCATCCATCTAATATCCCAGAGACCGTATATCGAGCATGGTGCTGTCAGACCCATACGGTTTCTACTCGAGTCTCGCTCTAATCGGATTCTCCCGGAGAACTTTTTCTCTCTCAACCCGAATGACCATGGCTAGGGATTTGTCTGAGCAAGAACACATGGGATATTCCTCTCATGACGCCGAGAGTGAATGATCCTCTATCGACACTTAATAGCCCTCGTAAAGTCGACTACCACTCCCAATGACCAGCTGTACTAGATCTGGGACAGCCAAACCTATAAGTCTGGTATCAAAGAGTGGAGCACTCATACAGGACATCCTTGGTGTCTCAAGTCTAAGGACCAGATACACCACTAGGACTACGGAATCGCTGTCTGACAATAAGGCATCATCAACCATCCAGCATTCCGTAAGCGGATCAATCAGTGAACTCATTCTCCAATAAGCACCTATACTGTATCCCTAGTGTCCCTACACGAGCAGCTATGAGACCAGCTGCATCCATCATATGGACGGGTATACAGCACACCAGTCTGTCTGGTTATCACGATGTCCCTCTCGAGTAAACTATGACCGGGATTATTTA